TAAGTCCCGATACGTATTTTGCCTCTAATTCCGAACGAGTGTTGATTCAGCTCTCGACGACAGACGAGGACGATGATGACGACAACAGCACTAACGTCTTCCTAATAAGTGGATGGGGGGGGGGGGGGCTATGACACGGGGGCAGAGGATGTTAGCCGTGGAGAGCCACTAGATACTTGCTCGGTATTAGCCGTTTAAACGGAGGGTAAAACGTTCGAAATCCTCTCGCGGCGACTTAAAAGTTTTTTAGAGTTGTCATCTCGTGGACAAGGCCATGGACGATATTATGCCTGCATAATAGTATTATATTATTTTATGTTTCGGGTGAATAAATTGTATGTTGCTCTCGATGACGGAAAACCACGGTTTGAATTGGAAAAATAATACTTACAATAATAAGATTTAAATAATCCCAGATAGATAAATATTAAAATAAATCGTTTTAATTTGTTACCACGAGAACAAACAAACAGCTAGTGTGTTTAAATACTCAAAAAAAATACGTCCAATGTCTTTGTCAATCTAAAGAGATGTGTGTGGAAATAAGCTCTCTGAATACCATAGACTAGACCAATATTTTTGGAAGCATACAATTTGCCCCTTGACGACCCTATTGACACTTATTAACAATAATTTAAAGTGTACCTACATTTATGTACTATATTTTAATATGAGCGAAACAGTAATAGATTAAGAAAATAAAATTAACACAACTATTTTAACACGATTTGTCTGTACAGTAAATTATATTAATTTAAATTACTGTTAATTAAGGACTTTTGAACTCTGGCCGATTTGAACTAAAAGTAGAACAGTTTGAAACTGGAAGACCTCGACATATCGTTCATTTCTTGACAAGTATTTGTTTGTTTTCTTTTTTTATAATATAAGTAGTATTAGCAGTAGTTTTATGAGTCTTATTATTTATTTAAAATAATTAATTATTATAGAATAGTTATTGATACTAAACATAAAAATGGAAATATTAAATTTTCATGAAAAAAAAAAAAAAAAAATAATATATTTTTTAACAACACAATTCAACTGTTTACTTGTTTTATAAGTTGTAACAAATTATAAGCAAGGTAAACGGGTTGGGAACATCACAGGTCACCTAAATGCTTCATCATACACCGACCGACCTGTGTAAATTATGTGTACATAAGTATGTAGAACTCATCTCTTTTTTACATTTCTCGTCAGTACGTTTTTGAAACATATAATTGCTATTCAATCCGTCCAAATTAGTCGCTTTTAATCAACAGGTAGATATAAATATATATTTAAATATAAATATATTTCGGTGTTTCAATCCCCGGCTGATGACGATATTTTGCACTATTTTTTTTAAAATTATTTAATTATTTGTTCATCGATTGACATAATATAATATTATATGGTGTTACGTGGTAACTATTAAAACGCTGTCTATCTCTGGTACGGTGCATCAGTGACAGATAATTATTAAACTGGGGAACATGAGAGGATTTTGATGTCAATAATATTGGACAAGACACTTAGTAGTTTTACCGAGTACAATTCAAATTATTTAAAGTCTCTGCTCGTGTGTTTTTAATAAAGGGCAATTATTTCGGCAATATGCAATTGAGTCGCTGACACCATGTTTTGTGTTGGTTGTAATCGTAAATTATGATTATTGTTAGTTTGCTTGTATACGGGTTTGAAGCTATCTACGCACGCTCAAACAATATGTCAACGGCACCGCCAACCAAAAATGAAAAGCGTAATTTTTTGCTCAGAACACGCTTTACAGGAGAAACTAGATTACAGATCTTGGTCTAAATTCATTAATTTGTTTTGATGTAGTTACAAAGAAGATAATTTTTTACAATGCTATTCCGTAATTCTATTTTTGATTTCGTTTCTTGAAAAATGATCATAATATTCGAAATCTTATTGTATGGTTTAGAAATGGAATTTAAAATAATCAATTACAATACACTCTGTAAAAAGTATTTCTCTTTCAAAAACAAAAAAAAAATTATATCGAAATAGTATCACCCGATTACGACGTGAACTACGAGTCGCGAGCATTTTTCCCGTAAGTATGTTTTTGAGCAGAAAAAACAGGTCACGTTTGCACCGTAATGTATATCATATATTTTATTTGTCATAACCCCCCCCCCCCCATAGAAAAAAAAGTATTTATTATAAAAATAATAGTCCTATCGAATCATGGCAAACTCGAGTGGCACAGATATTAAATAATAACAATATTCAACAAAATGTTGAAGCATGTTAACCGTGGTAAGTGGTAACGGCGCGTGGAAGCTAAACATAATATTGGCGAGTGTGTGTGTTAACGATTTATTGACTGCGTTCCAAGGTCGAAACTACTGACATAATACTTCGATTTGAGAGTGTTTTTTCTTCATCTTTCAAGGTGACACGTTTTGTCATCAAAACTAGGCTAAACATGACTATTGAATAATTATTATTTCACCTTACTATAATTGTAATTTGAATTATTTTTCCATACACTCGCGTACACAAGCATTACATATTATTATCTCGTCAGCAACTAGCCACGCCGATTTCACGATTGCTAATTATTATTGTTTTACTACCGTCGATCATTACAATAGTTAGCGAGCAACTACCCATATAACTAGCGGTTCTAATGTTTACGAGACGACACATGTAATAATATGTTTAACGACTTCAGTAAACAAAAGAAACCAACTGTTACGCTACATAATTTAACATAATATTAGAGTGTGTGTGTGTGTGTGATTGCTCTCCGTTGAAGTGATGTATAATATTTTATGTATTTTATGTAGCGTGTAATACCGGCGAGCGGTCGAGTGCAATCGAACGTCTCGAGAACCTGTTGACCGGAAAAATGTGCTTTGGAATCGATGCGAAAATCTGAAAATAAAAAGGGGTTAGTATGCGGTGTATAATGCTTATTTATAATGATTTAATTGAATGGTATATACCGAGGTATAACGAATGTTAAATATAAACGGACAATCGCACTCGACCGCGGTCGTCGTTGAACGAGGCGGACTTGAGCAACGAGCGCCATCGCGAACAATGCCACCGGAAGAAAAATCACGTCCGTAATCTGTATAATGTCTATTATTGTCGTGTACCTCCTCGTAATATGCGCATTGTAATGAATATATTCGATACAACATTAAACGAGTGCGGGAAAAAAATAATATCAAAAGTCACTCGCGACCCCACATTGTGGCTTTTTGCGGGGCCACAATTGAATCGGTTCGCGTATTGCAACAGCGAAGAGTTTTCGTACAAACACTCGAAAGTCGAAACTATAATAATATAATAATAACGCGTAACATTGTAGTGCGTAGGTACACTTTAACGTTCATTATTATTATTACTGTTATACAACACTGGGCATTGTCGATGTTTTCAAATTCGATACGTCCAAACAACGGATGAACCGATTTCGCCATATTTCATCGAGTGCCCATTTATAGCGAGGAACGTATATACACATGGCGTACCCTCAAATCGGTAGTTTTTTTTTCGTTTTTTCCTCGGAGAGCACCCTCCAAATTAGCTCCAAAAATACAAAGTATGTCCAAAATATCTAAAACAATGTAACAATATTTTATTTTATTAAAATAAAATAAGGACGAGGCCCTTTGTAAGGAAAGAGTTCATTGCGCAAAACAATTGATGGACCAAATTACGATATTGGCTTGAATAGATTGCAGAGAACAGCAGAAATACTAGTTAAAGTTTTGTTATATAAGTGGCATTTGATTACAGACAAAATGTACAAGATACATTTAAATTAAACGGTGAAAGAAGTATCAGTCCAGCATTGGCTTTCAAAGCTTGATTCGCCCAACCCTTGAACAGTAACCGATACACCTGCAGCATGCCAGTACGTTCGGCCAGAGAAGATAGGTCCAGCAAAGATATGGGTGCTCATGGTAGGTATGTTGTAGTGTGCGAGAGGTATGGAGAGGATTACTTGTAGACCTGAAAAACTTAAATTATTAATACGCACCAGTTGAGCCTAAGACGGGATTTCGGTATATTACTTCCTTTTTATCACTATATCCTGAATAACGACTTCACGAGCGACTCCTTCGATTCGCGAGCGCTGCAATTGGTGAGTGAGAAAAGGAAAATTTAAGCGCCATCGGAAGTGCTCAATACGTAACATAAAAAATAGCTATATAGCCTATGTTTTATTATTACTATTGCGACGGTTTCACTTTCTATAACATAATACCATATTTGCTCTTGTACGATCGTTGTTTAATATAATAATATTATTATATCACATGGCCAATTATTATTATTATTACACCGACGTCCGATTTAACAGCGTTGCCAAGTCGTATACACACAGCGCGGCTGTAGTCGGATGCGGTAAGAGCCGACGACGCAGCAGCAGCTGTGATATCGGTCTTGGTTACGTTTTTTTCTTCTTTTATTCTCAAACTCGACACTTTCACTTGTTCCAACTATATTATGGTCGGGGCACTTCCTCGGGTGATGGTGTGGGGGCGGTCGCGGGTGGGGAGTCGCAAACTCGACGCGCGATAACAACATAATAGTTATAATAATAATAATATTATGTAGGCCAAACGCCGGGACGGATGGGTGAGAGGTTCGGTGGAGGGGATCCGAAGGACGCCGGTCGTGCCGCCGCCGAGCGCAATATCAGACGCGCACCGGCTCGCCGCAGTCTCGTTCGCGTCCATATAACATAACAATATCATTATTACACAGTCGTCCGATTTCGGTTTCATTTCGCTCTCGATTTCACTCCGTTTCCCAGCTATCATCTCACACCGCTGCATCTGCATAATCGCCACGACTTATCTCCCGCGATCAGTCACCTCGGCCCGCCATGCACTCCGGTCCAGCCGCCCACCGGAAACGCCGACACTGACACATCACACCTGCAACTGCTGAACGTGACATACCTCACACATATAGGTATTATTATTCCAACCTGACGCCATACCGACACGGACGTTTAGGTCGCCGCCATGGACTCGGGACTGGCCCGGTTCGCCGTGCTCATAGTGTTGTTCTTCCTGTTGACCGGCGACCTGGCCGGCATGGTCAAGCACATGTTCGAGGAATACGGCGGAAAGCAGCAGAACAACCAACAGCCTCACCGCCATCAGCAGCAGCGGAACCGGCAGCAGTCTCCGGAAAAGTCGGAGGGCGAAGGAATCGCGCGGTCGCCAAAACCACCAGTTGCTGCGGCGGTCCCCGAAGACATCGGAGCCGGGGGACCGACGGCAGACGAAGATCCCGACATGGAGGCGTTCGGTGAGCAATCGTGGGTAGTGGAAGTAAAAAATAAATAAAATACCAGACGAAAAGACGATGATAATACGCTGGCGACTTATCAGTATTCAAGGTCACCACCGCGCGGTGTTTCGGTATGCAGTAGTACCTATTGGCTATAATAGACGGCCTCGTTCGACTTTTATTATATTCGTCATGAAATGATATCTTAAGCCTTGGAAGAAACGCATCCATGGGTTACCACGGTTCTAAGCTTCTTCTTCTTCTTATTGTTCTGTACATTTATAATAGTAATCTCTTCGGCTCGACGAATGGCGATTACCCGCCGACACGCTCCCAGCCGCTTAGCACCCCCCTCCCCACCAACACCTCACGAACACACACTTTTCGCGATTCGCGACGCGTATAAAATAATAATACAATAACGTTCAATGTCAATTATCGATAAAATCATAACATCGGGAGGCTGCAAAAGACCAGCAGAGAATATTTTATATTTCCGAATATGAACATAGGGTTTTATTGATACTATAAAATATTATATAATATAATATTATAAACTACACTGCAAACACGACATTATAATAATAATAACTAGTAGGTATTACGGCTAGCGTTTTTCTATCTCTGAATTTAAAAAAAATATATAAATACCGGTTGGTTTTACTTTCATTCGTGTGCACCGGTTGTTACGACGATTGTGCGAGAGCGCGTGTCTGTTTTGCAATGAGAAACAGCACGCGGTGTGATAATCGGACATACCGACTAATTATAACGTTTTTTGTTTTATATATTTTATTATTCGCAGCCAAATCGTATTCGGCCCGAATGAAACTGGTCAACACCATCAAGGAATCGTGTTTGCCGAAACTCATTTGCGAGCTGACTGCGTCCACGAACCGCGACTCGCTCACCGAATCCGAGAGATACCTGTTGTCGCTCATTAGGTATCTATTATTATTATTATTATTATTACTATTATATGCTACCAGCTATATTATACCCGCCGAACGGATATACCGCGGTATACGGCTGTGGTGTTCGATGACAATGGCTCGTGATGCCGATGAAGTTTTCCACGCGGAAAACCGTCTGCTGCAGCGTATATTCTAACCGTATACCTAGTATACTGCAGCAGGTATAATATTATTATATAATATGCATTCGCGCGATCGGTAACGACGATAATAATAACGAAATTGTTTATGCACTTTCGATTTCACTATAAAGTCCGAGCACACCGACACCGCACAAGCGTCACACAATAAAAAACGGAGACATTGAAGGCAAGTGAATTGTTGTATTATAATGGTAATGTCTCCGGGCAGTAAAATACTAATATCATTCGACTGCGAGTCGGTGGTTATTTCGTAGAGACACTGCAACTGTATTCGTATAATTGTCGTTCGAGCTTTGGTTTCAATATGTTGGTCACATGCTTACCTACACTCGGCGCTCAAAAACATCAAAGCTACGAGATAGGTATAGCTAGTGTTTGAAGTATGAGAAATATTTCATTTTGAAATATTTCACTAAGTTGTGAAATATTTCACAAAAACGTGAAACATTGAAATTTTTTTAACACAAATAAAAACACAATTTATTTATTTTTTTGACACAATGTTCAGTGTTCTAAATTCTAATGTCAGAATGCAGTAAGTATACAAATATACATGTATAATATTGTATACCTACCTACTTGTATCATTTAAACATTAAAATATTTAAAAATTTTGAATACCAATTTAAATGTATAATACCAAAGGTTAGGTATACATACAGGTACCATATAGCGATGAAGGTAATTTATGAAAATTATACGTAAATATAAAAATTATTTAAAAATGAAACAAAATATATTAAAATACTGAAATATTTCACATATTTTGAAATATTTCATTTTTTTAAATTTCATGAAATTTTCAAACACTAGGTATAGCCATTTAAATTATTGTTTAAAAGTCCGAGTAAAATTCGAGTTTGAAGGTTTTCGGAAAGTTTCGAATACCTAGAATATTGCGCACGTATATAGTGCCGACTCAGTACCGATCGCGACATGATTATATTATATCATCCGCGGGAGGTTTTTGAATTCTTTTTGGCGAGATTTTCGAACGATCCTCAAAATATGTTATGCTCATTGCTCACAACGGACGAAGAAACCGGCAAGAAAGAAAACGCGGACCGGATGACGTGTCGCCGGTGCAGTCTGCGGAAAACTGATTTCGTCGACGGGAAACCGTGTACCGGAAATTGTTAGAAAAAAAACCACTGGTAGACGATCGGAGCAATCGTAAATCGCTTCGCCCGAGAAAACTGTAGTGCACGCATTTAATGTGCTAGTGCATTATTTACGACTCGGGGAGGGAGGGATGAAATGGTGAAAAAAATTAAGTGATAAATCTCTCGCGGAAAAGCACACAATATAATATGCTCTCGGCGTATACGCACGTCATATATATATATATATATCATATAGTAACAACAACAATAATTGTTCGCATTCTCATATATTATTATTGTTATATGTGTACGAGAATAATGATTTGCTGCGAGTTTTCTCGTATATGTAAATTCCGAGTGCATATAATGTGATAATATAAAATATGTATAATATTATAATATATTTTGTACTGCAGCGCGGCACCTCTCCCGACGAAGACGACGTTAAAAAGTATTTATTTTTTTATTATGTTAATATTTTTGTGTGCGCAGCGTGACGAGCGCGTGCGCGTTAAAACGTGTCGTTCGTTTATTATATGTTTTACTTCGTACTATATTAACCTACAGACACTTTAAAACGCATCGGAAAATAACATAAGGATCGACAATAATATTGTCGTGTCCGACAGCCGTCGATCGAACGATATCATCAGATAATAATATTATAATTATATAGCTATGCGTGTTAAAACACTCGCCGGGCTGAGGGATAACATCTGATGTCATATAAATGTAATGTTCAAACCGAAAATTTAATAAAATTGTATGTTGTGGATACGCTGGTAAACGTTTTACCGGTTATCCTTAAAGCTGGTACAGATTGATTTACCAAGCATCGTTCATACTCTTCAATTATAACAACGCATTTTGTTCAAATTGTGTTTTCATAATTTTTTTAAGAATATACCTATCTACTATAAACCACTCGTTCTAATTTCCATTTAGATATGTTTTCATCTTTTAAATAATTTACGGTACAAAAATGTTGGAACTCAAAAGAAAAAAAATGTGTTTATAAACCGTCAAAGGACAGTCCTATCAAACGTTGTGAAATTTGGTCCTTAAATACCAATTAGTACTCAATGCCTTTTTTAAAAGTTCCAAAAATCAAAATTTGAACCACAATCGTGGTTAATCACTTACCTTTGGTACCTACATGGTACACCTACTCTGTGAATCCGTTTTCTCGACAAAGTAATGGACAGGTGCCATCGGTCGACCTCGCCGTCAGTCATTTCGCGAGCTCGTCGAGAAGACCTATGACGAAATAACTGGATATAGACAGTATAGTAGTTGTTCTCCTCGATCCATCTTTTCAATACATAAATCACAGATAATAAGTCAAGTAGCAGATACATTACACGTAATGTATAATATAGGCGCGTTAAAAAGTAGTTTGCAATGATGAAAACAACAACAACAATAGTACCAACTATATACTTAGATACTATATTATGGTAAAATATAAAATTCACTTTGGAATCAATTTTCAGCGCCGAAAAAAAATGACAATACAATATTATACCTATACCGTAGTACCGTGTCAACTTTCTAGTTCACCGACTTTCCACTCGATCCTCCAACCCTTATGTTGTACTCGCTACGAATTATTGCCACAATCGTGCAATCGACCTCGGTGCCTTGTACCTAATATACATCTCTGTTGATTCCAACACCCTGCCACCACTACCACCGATCATAACACACTAGTCCATTATCATATTATGTTTTATTTTTCGTTTTATTCTGTGCTGTTGGACTTTGCCCGTATTTAATATTATAATAAAATACAAATACTATTACAATAGTGCGACTGATTTCGCGAAATATCCAAGCGTTAATAATTTTTTACTTATTTCGTTTTGTTCCCCGGCGTCGACGTGATTTACACGCTGTTCCCCTAGCTCGATCTCCGAGACCTCTGGTTTGGGCTTAAAAAAAGGTTTTTTTTTCTTACTCGGGGGTTTGGCGCCACGGGGAAAAAATACTAATAATAACTCGTGTCACCGATCGCGCGAGCCGATCTCCGACGGGCCAATAATAATAATACTACGGGGAAAATCGTCGTTGCCCGCTTCCTCCTTTTGTGAATATTCAAAAGATTATTATTATTATTATTATTCGTCCTCGGCGGGGAGGGAGACCCTCATAACGGAGCGGGCCCGGAGAATCCTTTGGGGATTTGACAGCGAAGAAAGGAACGCCGCGTAAACAGCGTGAGAGAGGAAGAGTGTGTGAGAGAGAGGGTGAGAGGGAGATTGGAATCGTAATTTTTCGCTCGGAAAAATTAAACGTCACGTTTTCATATATATATAATATTACATATTATTATTATTATATTTTTCCCTCGTCGGGACAAATAAAATCAAGTTTTTAAATTCGCATTTCGTATTATTATTATTATCTTCCTTTCACGAACGCCGACGATTTCTAGTGATTTGACTTTTTTATCGGTTTTTTTTTTTCATATATTATATTTATAACGCAGCTATGCGCGCGATAAAGATTTTCATCATCGATAATATTAATATGGAAAAATACAAATATTGCGTTTCTAGTTTTGTCTCTTCTCCGGTTCGTATTGTTGCTATTATTATCGTACACTGGTTGCACAATAACTGACGCGTTTGCCTCGATATTCTCGTCCGACCAGCTATAGGCGTTGTCCGTAATTTGAACATCACATCCAAAACTTGACCTATATATACTTAAGATTCCAACAGAATATGACCTGCTCTTGACAGATCGATCTTTTTTTGAAGTTGACTCGGATTACAATATTATTAATAGGAAGTCAATACGGCTAAGGTCAAATTATTGTACTCATTCCGATCATTATATAAATCTGTCATTTCATAGTATAATACTAAGTATACATATTATTATACATATTTGTATATACCAAATTTTTATTACTGAATACCAGCAGACGATCAGAATAATAACTTGTATTTTTAATGTCTAAGTTTATTGCTTATATTATAATATCTATAAATACGGCTTTAATTAAAAAATAAATTAAATTTATATTTTCAATACAAAAATATGTTCATATTTTAAAAATTGATAAATGATAATATGTATAAAAATGGGTTCTTCCTTAAAAATTGACAAATAGATAGTTCCAATTTAAATACATAATTTTCGTTTATTTACAAATCAGTAACTTTGTGTAATAACTTCATTGATCGGTCCGCGTGCAATTCCACCGTTACCTTTTTTGAAATAGAGTGAAATTCAGGCATTTTGGTTTAGGCAAGGATAGCGAAGTTCGACAGTCTGTGTAAATACGACAAAATCGAAAATATAAATATTTATTATCGTAAAAGTGTTTTGTTATACTTGTAGATTTTTGCTAGGACTATTCAATTATAAACCGCATCAATAACATAATAATGTTTTATTATAACGGTTTGTATTTACAGAGAAACGACCATTTCCACTACTGCCGAAGTGACGTCCAAATATCATTTCGCCGCGCACATGGGCCAACTCATCAACGGCATCGACAACACGGGATGTCACAACTTCTATCCCGGATGTCCGTTTCCCGGGCTGCAGGTGATGCAAATGATGAAGAAAGTGAAGATCTTGTAAAATAACAATATCATATGCCTACGTGTGTGACGCCGACGCAGCGACCACAGTCTAGTCCTTAAACCGATGCATCGTAATAATAATATAATAATATTTGTTCCAAGACCGCGGTAATACCTATACCTATAACCGCTTCTCGAAACGTAGGTATAGACCTGGTGATGTGCTCGCACGACCTTTAACTTCTTGTTTCGACGTTAGCGCCACCCGCCGTTGACCAAAAGATAAAAACAAGTTTTCCACCCCCACGTTACAGGCTAGAGTCACACCACCTAAGTCACGTCCACGCCATCGTCGTCCTTTGAAGTATTTTTTTATGATATCACCGTCATCAGGCGTAAAAATTAATAACAACGTGTTATTTTTTTATCAATTACAGCCGATAATTATTATAATAATATATAGGTATTAAGACATTACAATAAATATTATTATTATTATTATTATGTGCATCGTATAAGGTATTAATAAGTATTACCTCAATCGAGCCTATATATAAGTATGATATAATATATTATACACAATGTATAGGCAGTATAACTGCAGTTACCTATACACATCTATTTATGTATTTAACTTAATATTATGTATAAATAAAAAAAAAATTGACAACAAATTGTCCAAAGTACCTACACAGGTATTATTATTGCATAAGCGTATCATCAATTGTTTTAATATAAGTTAAGGTATTTATATGTACACCAGTGTCGTGGTACTTGTAATGATGTAAATAATAATTATAATTACAATAATGATAATAAAATGTACAAAGAAAAATGAGCAACAAACATTGTCGTATATTATACATGTGGCGAGTGGTAACATAATAATTCAAAGGGTCGGTAACATTTATACAATAAGGCTTTTATAATACCACAATGTCCTTGAATAAATTATTGTAGCAGACGTGTGTGGGTACAGGGAGTGTATATTTCTCCGAAAATAAAGATAGGTAAGTATAATGTACTATCGTAATATAATATTAATAATATTTACAATAACGAATTGTTTGTGGGAAATTTAGATAAAAAGTGTTCTGAAAATGAGGGTCTACATCTGCAATGCAGATTCTGCATATTTGACGAACGAAACGAAAGTTTACCAATATATTATGGTTCTGAAATTCACTATCGTGTTATCCGATTTTTGTGTATTATATTAAACCTAATAATAATTCATTGTCCTTATAAAATTGTACAATACATTAGGTAATTAGTAATGTACTTAAATAAATAATTGTTTTTTCGTATAAATATAAAATAGGGGTTAAACACTGTTGGCAACGGTTAGGTGCCCCTATATTGAACCTCTTTCATACCGCCGCATCACTCGGAAGTCCTGGGGAACTGAAACTTGGGCCGCCTCTGGTAGGGCAACCTGTTGCCGAGCACGTCAAAGTCTTCGGCCGGCCGCCGCTGTGGAAGTCTGATGGTCGACGGTCGACCGCCGCTCGCGGTGGCGTCGTCGACGAACTTGATCGCACCGTCGGCGTAGTACACGCCTTTGTAGTTGCCGTATTTGTCCACGTCGGCCCTAAGTCCGCCAGTGCCGGTCCTGTCGGGGAAAATCATTTTCACCCTTTTCGCCTGCCGGTTGCCACCCCCAACGCTGCCACCCCCAACGCTGCCGCCTCCACCGCCGCCGTGGTGGTCGGACGGAAAAGCGAACTGCGAGACCGAATTCGAAGCTCCGCCGTGATCGATGGCCGACGGAAACCTCATCGGCGCCGGCCTGGGACCCTCCAGTTGCAAGTCGTTAACCGAAGGCACGTCGTAGTACTGGCCCGGCGACCCGCTAAGTATTCTCGGGTTCTGCTGGTCGTCGACTCGGGACTTGTACCCGTAACCAAAGTTCTGTTGCGGCCTCGGGTACTGGGGAGCGTAGTTCTGTTGTTGATCCGGGTACGGAGGACGTTGCAGGTACGGAGGCCTTTGCGGATATGGAGGTTGTTCCGGGTACGGAGGCTGTTGCGGGTACGGAGGGCGCTGCGGATACGGGGGCTGTTGGTAGGGCGCGTACTGGGGAGCGTACTGCGGTAGTTGTTGGTTGAAGAACCGGAAGAAACCACCGTTGTGGTTGTTCAGGTAGTTGATCAGCTGGTCGGGGTCCCTGGGACAGGTCGGATATGCGGTCGTGCAATATTTGGAATCTCCTCGGGCGTTATACCCCAACAACGCGGCCCGGCCGAACATGAGCAGAGGCGAGTCGTCCACGAAGTTCAACACGGTCAGCAATCTGAAAGCGATATTACAATATAATATTATTTATATCACTGTTTACACAGCATTTACTGTGGTGAGGTGCTGTTGTAACAATATTATACAACACATTACACGTAGGTTTAGGTATAACTCGTATTGTTATTGATTAATAATGATTAATATTATCCAATGACCAATATTCATAGTATGCAAGTATGCTATTATTATAATAACTGTAAAACTCGTGAATTTATCTATTTTAGCGAGTTCGTGACATCTGCACTTATGTGAATTTAACTTTATTAATTAGTATTTTTATACGATTATAATATATACCTAACAATGATTTTTAATTATAATTTTTTGATTGTTTTATCGAAGTCTCCTAGGAAAAACCGGCCTCTCTAAGTGACCTCTCACCTCTATATTATAGTTGCGTACAAAAACTGTCCACATATTTGTGTTCATCATATTTGTTGGGAGTGATCTTCATTTGTTACTTTTTGTGAAAATTGTCCTATGTTTGTCACTTTTACCAACGCGCAACGATGGCTCCTTTCATTTCTAAGATTGTATCTTTGTAGTATTCAATATAAAATAGTAATTTTTTCACCACTAATTTTTACTATAAAATACTGATTTCACTTTCCATACAAAAAATAAAAAGGTAAGTACGAGTTTACCAAGTTAGATCATATATAGGTCTAGTCATTGATAATTGAGAATAATAATGTTGTTAGAAATATACTAAATTGGATCACATACAATCGGATTTTGGAAATAGTCCGTTAAACACTATATAAGTAATAGTAGTAATCTTTGTGCAATTAATAATTAGTTACTTTTTGTAAACCAAAGTTTGAAAATCATGAGTTATTATTAATAATAAATAATATTATTGCTCACTCCTAAGTCACAATACTAGGTATTCCCGCAAATATCAAAAACTTAATCTGTGCTTTACTTGCTGGTAAATTATCACTCGAATGAAATCGTTTTTTAAAATTGCTTCAACAACATGATATGTTCAATCGCAGATAAAAATTGTTGGAATATTTTTAATTTATGACATTGAATTGGAATTTTATTTTACTGTTTAAAACCATACATTTAAATTGATTTGAGTATACTAGTGGAGATATATTTATGGTATTTTGAATATATTCCATACATCTCACTACATTCTACATAATTCAGTTAAATATTGAAATTTTTATGAGAATTATAATATAGGTACCTACGCTTTTTGTTGGAGCAGCAATATGTATAATAATTTTGTCTGCTGGAGCACAATACCTAACTGCAAAAACTGTAATTATGGAAAATTGAATCGAAATCTAATTTTTAAACTTGTCATTATTTTTAAAAAAGTGTTAGTTAGTCAATAAAAAGTTTTTGATCTTAAGGTACTCGTAGAGTTAGTGAGTTTCGATGAAATTTTACTCAAAATACGGTACAGCAAAGTGACAGAATAATCAGTAAATTACTTCCGCTCGCCAAAATGTTTGTAGTCGTCTTACGCGCCCTCGGATAGATCCTGTAGAATCATCATATTAAACTGTTCATTGGTGTAGCTTGGAGGGGGTGTGGGGGGAGTGCTTAAGGTTTTGAATCACCCCCTTCCCTTAATCATATTTATACAAAAATATACGTTTTATTGCCATGTGCTTTAGAGTTCAGATTTCTACAAAATATATTATGTTTTTATGATATGGTTCTATTTCATATTTGATGTTATAATACTGTGAACATTGATGACTCCAACCGAAAGTGTATACCCCATATAAGTTATGTTCTAAAATAAAATTAAAACACTCCCCTAAAAAAAATCATGGTTACGTATGCCTCGAACTGGTATGACTATTCTATACCTAAGCATCATGATTGTCGTGGAAAACCAATGAAATGGTCGTGACGCGATGTGTCACCGTACATACCATCGATTTTGACTGTCGGTGGGACGACTCGCGATAATTTATCGGCGTATGCGAGTTTGGAAAGTATGAATGACGAGAGTCGTCGACCACCTGTGTGTGTGGGGTGCGATGTGTTTATTACGATACAGTCATAGTATATACACTGTATAATATATGCGTCTTGTAAAAGTCGTCTAACGAAAGACAAAAACTATACTATTGACCGTGGGGGCGACGGAGTTTCGCCTTATTTAATGCATATTATATGCAAATCCGATCGAGTTCGACGACTCTCGCCTATGTAATATAATAACAACCGTACAACAATATGCACTATAAGTGCGTAATATCGACACCGAGCGATTTCGCGGGCGGCCCACGCAGCTCATTTCACCCGGGCCGGATTCTTATGGACTATAAATATATTATAATATATATTATAATAATGATAATTGTTGGCGAGCGTAGGAATACACGACGGCGGCACAGGTGGCCTCGGGAGATGAAAACTTTCGTTACAATATAAAAATATAATATTGTAATATATTATAATAATATCACCGTTGTAGTGTTTTTGTTGTTGTTTTTGTTGTCGTTATAACATCGTAGACCCACTTTTGGTGTTAACAAAACGACGATGTGGCGCGTAACGCAATAATTACAAATATTATTATTTTGTCACGCACAATCGTCGTGCTCGACAATAGAGCAGTGTGTATACAATAATAATAATAATAATAATATTATCATAATGGCGTATTCATAGCGTGTATCATAATAGTAATAATAAGAATTTTACGTGTCCTACGACTTATGACCGAACGCCACAGCAGACGATTGTCACCCCGATCATCGGGGGTTCTTGTATAGATAGGTTAGCCATAGATCATCTACCTGACCTATACAGATGAATGGAGTTAGATAATGTCGAAAAGTCAATTCGAGACGAGTCGCTAGTATTCAATTGATTTTTGCCTAATCCGCGGACTGCGGAATGATGTATGTTTGGGTGACAGATTTTGTCAAGGGCGCCGGTACAAACGAATGGGTTACCTAAGATTCAACTCTAAGTATGCCTAACCATTGTGAACGATCTTCGAAAAACCACACTATACATGTGTTGTCTCCGCCTTTCAAACACGTAAGACATGGCGAATTTGAGTTCAACAGAACCGATATTTTAGTTTTTAAGGAAGATATAAGGATGTAAAATTTAAAAAGCTCATATCTCACTTAAAAATTAAGTTAAATATTTTTAAAGTTTTTAAAAATTATTAAAAAAAAAAACAGACACTTAAGCGCAGGTGATAATGTCTTAACTTTTAGGTTTGATAATTGGTGATTTTCTCTGTAATATAATGTAAGCTAACAACACAAAATTAGTTCCGCTGAACTCGAAGACAGAGTCATGTGTGGATAGCATCCTCTTACTCAATAGATAAAAAATGTACTCGCTATGTCGACCTTACGGCTTAACGTATGGTGTAAGAATTGTTACTCAATAAAGACCAATACCGTTATCATTGTATATAATATATAGTTAAACCTCCTCTAAATGTAGTGAACTTTTTTTTTGAAATTAAACTACAAACTGAACCTCTTTGAATGGCGAATAAAATGTCGGAAATCGTCCAAAGGTTCGGGATTTGGTGTATATATTATGTTTACGCTTGATACAAAATACAAGTTTAAGCAGGCTCGTCAGAAGTTTCAATGAAAAAACTCGCAGGAGACTTATACAGCTCACGACGTCCAAAGGTCTCGGTGGATGGCGCCTCTGTCGTTTGCTCGACCCTAATAAGGAATGGTATATATTACATTATCGTTATTATTATTAAACTGCTTATGATGTGGTTATGACGAGTGCTGGAGTTGGTAGGTAGGTACCTATCCGTCCGTGTAGCGATTACCCGCGCGCACGTCACCGGAAACTATACTTCCGGTGTGTACATTAAGTATAACATCTACAAATATGACATAATCACTGCGTTTGAACTTTAGGCGTAAGCGCCGTTATCAAAGCAATAACACATCGTTTACCGACCGCATCATATTATTATATAGGTATCCGCAGCTATACAGACACGGTCGCGGTAACCTGCGCTCGCCGCCCGAGTCGACTGGTGTATACACAATATGCAGTTAGTGTAATATATTTTCCGGAAGTGATCTGCGCGGTGAAAGGGTTCCCGAGGGGAATCATATCGCGGAGGCGGCGGAGACGTCGTTAATCTGTCGGTGAAAAAATGTTTATGACGCACACGCCGTTTGGCGGCGGCGGTACGATTTTTTCCGTTACTCGGCAGTAAATCACGTCGCAATAAATAAGCGTTCGGCGGGTGAGTTGAAGGAAAAAACAAGTTAATTTCGATTTAAGCCCCGCAAAGCGAAATGTTTACGTTGCCCACCCCCGACCAATCGTCTCTTGGCCCCGCCGCCGAGTGTTTGTGTACCCGCAAAAAGGCGTAAAAGGCACGTCTCCGCGCGTCAAAGACACTTTTTCATTTCTTATCTGGACGGGCCACCGATCGCGGGCCGCGTAGATTTATCGACGGAAAAAAAACGAGCGAGGTGACGACTGATATACGACTATAACTCTCAGTGATATATTATATTTATATTGTACGCAATTATCGCGAAACCATGATATATTATATTTGATATAACGACATCTCGAGTGACTATAAATAATAACTCAGAGTACACCTAATACCCATATAATATATATATATAATATTGTATGTGTGTGTGTGTGTGTTTGTGCGCACACCGTACTCACGTGATCAGAGCGTCTTTGGTGAGAAACGGTATGGAGGACTGCTGTTGTTGTTGTTGCTGGTAGTAACCCGATTGCTGGTTATAACCGGGCCTGGTGCCGGACGACACCTCGCACAGCAGTCTGGGCACGCACCTCAGGTCGTCGTGTTCCGATATGGAACTCAGAGCCTGCACGACGGAGTTCTGCTGCAGGTAGCCGCCACCTGGAAAACCGGGACGGAGCCCATTGGGGCGGAATGGCGGCGGAGGGTACGGTCCACCGTTTCCAGGGTACGGTGGAGGATACGGTCCTCCGTTTTCCGGGTACGGTCCACCGTTTCCCGGAAACGGTTGAGGGTACGGTCCGCCGTTTTCCGGGAAAGGCGGAGGGTACGGTCTGCCGCCTTGGGGCCTCTCCAAAAAGGGTGGTCGACCAGTTTCGAAGTAATCGGCGGCGGGCGGACGGTTGGGCCGACCCGAAACCGACTGAGATCCATCCCCGAGCACACTCGAATATCTTGCGTCGGTGTTCAAAACGGTTCCGATCATTTGCGTCAAGGACCTGCCGTGGAAAACGTAAGATAATAATCCAATAATCCAATATAAACAAAAGATGATTATACGTTAATTATTAAAGTAGAGCTCGTTCGAGAAAATAGGAAACTGTAGTAATATAAGTAATATATGAATCATGTCTTAAATCGAATTCCATTCTGTTCACCGTGATTAACAGGTAGGACTTGTAGTAGTAAATAGGTACATAAAATATTCTTGGCCGTATTTATAATTTAAGGAAAGATTATCAACCAGTCATGCGTACATACAAATCTTTGTGAAAATTATTGTTTTTAATAAAGATTTTTATGGTAGAACCATTTTACTCTCCAAATAAAAAGAAACAGACCGTAGCTATAGTGGTGAGAATAAATCGATTTTTAAATCGCATAATCGACGGTAGTGGCTTATAAACAGGTACAAATAAATATCGATATCGCTGAAAATATTGGAGACCGAATATTACGAATTATTTGATGTGTTGAATCCGTTTTAAAGGGGTAAACTTATATTCTGAGAACAAATTGAATTTCAGCTACTCAAAATGAACCCAGATAGCGCAAACAAGTAACCAACAACAGATTCAGAACTCATTAAGAAATAAGTACCAATACGAAATTACAAACCATTTCTTTTTCCTCGGTAAATCAAGGATAGTTATGTTGATACGTTATCGATACTATACGGTACATTGTGTTTTGTTAATTCGAATGGTCACTTACGTCAAGAACTCGTCCACTCCTCTGGTGGTGTTTTTGTCGTTCGACAAAGCCGCCGCGAACCCGCAGCTACACCACAACAGGGCGACGACACACCTCGAGACCGACATCGCTGATGGTCTTGGAGTTTTTTTTTCAGAGGGTCTCCGTTTGTTTCCGCTACTTGAAACGGTAGTGTTGTGTAGAACGACGTTTGCAGACAGCTGGTAAAACTTTAACGAGAAATCGTCCGGTGGTCGGACGCCGCAGAGTGCCAAAACCGGTGTGGTCGACGGAGGCGACGGAGGTCGGTCCGGTGCTGCGAAAAAATTAGAAAAAAAGCGCACGCCTACACGCTCCGACGTCGCCCACCCGACCACCGCCTGCTCGCGATGCCTGTAACCCGCGATCGGCACAGTGGCGGTGGCGGATTTCGAGTAGAGTGAACTTTCACAACAATAAAAATGACATCATACGCGGGCCGACGAGAAAACGACCGTGTAAAATAATAACAATAATAATACCGACAGTAACGATGTGACAAACACGAACGCGACGACCGAATTATAATGATATGTAGTAGGTAATTAAATATGTATAATATTATTATCGCATACCCAAACCAGCGGAGATTGTTTGTTATTACGATTTATAATTACGGATACGCGAACAACGACGACTCGGTGACGACGATCGCAGTCAAACTGCGAGAGCGAAACACCTCTCGACCTACCTGACGATAAATAATAATAATAATAATGATTTATTGCGATCGAGTACATAGCTGTTTACAAATCGTATGCGATAGTCGAAACATTTAACACGAGCGCCCACCGCGGGGAAAACGCAAGCCAAGTCTGTGATGTTATATGCGTTTTCACACCATTTCCAATCGATTATCGTCGATCGCGTTTTACATTTTTCCGTGTGTCCCCCCCCCCCCAGGAAAATCATGGCTCGTCGAGTCTTAGTGTTTTTCGGAGAACGACAGCGGCGTATAATTGCACTATATAAACATAGATAAATGTTTCTATTTATTGTATATTATACATTTTATAGGTATAACGAAACGCAAACGTATCGGCGCAATAATTAAATTAGAACGCGACACGCCACGGATACGAGCTATAGGTGTATAATAGGTGGTACGGTAAAATAGTTTTTCTAAAAACGCGTTTTTATACAGAACGTTTCAGGTAGTTCCGTCCAAACTTTCAGAACGATAATCACACGTCCACGAGTGGAATCAAAAATGCAATTTTCTGTTTTTTTTTTGGGGGGGGGGGGATTTCATAGTATTATGGTACTTGTGGTGTCCGACTCGACATCTCGAATATCGAAATAATAATATAAGACGATTATTTTCGAGGGCCGATTCGTTTGTTATTGAAATTAAGAATTTATTTTAGTTAGATTTTGTTGATTTCTTGGATTTACTACCAGAAAAACACTCGAATTGTAATTTTAATAAGAAATCGCCTAGCCCTCCCCCCCCCCTTGAAACCCCAGCGACTGTGAAAACATATCAAACACATTTGAAAATCACGTCAGCGCTTGGCGTTGGAGGTTCATAAAAATCAATTCACATATCAAAACGAGGGAGTTTTTGCAGGAAGACAACCCTCGTTGTGTATTAACTATTATTATTCCGATAAGTTTAAGACTGAACCAGATATCTAATAGCAAATACCCATAAAATTCCTTATTTATGAAAATATGAAAAAAGGTATAAATCATTTCAATAATTCTAGTCATGGCCGACACCACGAGTGTTATTCATTCACAAAATTTAAGCTGAACAACCTAAAGCACTCTGTACATGAGCGTATACAACACAAGTATAATAATAATATGGTATTCGGAGGTGACCCTAAAGGCCTAACATTTGAACAAAAAAATGTACTAACCACTCGTCGTTTTGTATATGAGACACTTGTTGCATGCCCTAATATAGGTCACACCAATTAACTGAAAAACGTGTGCCAGTATACAATAATTATTATAACAATCGGCGGCGTGTGGTATTATAGTCTACCTTAGCGGTTCAAAACATTTTATAAGCGTGACCCTAAAACTTTAAATTTAACTTTTTGGAGACAAAAAAAAAAATATATAATTGCAAACTCAAAATTCTCTTATTTATTATTATCATCAAATTGGTAAATATCTATATTTATTATATTTATTGATTTATCTATCTATAATCTATATTCTATTCTGAAATCCTTAAAAACTCTATAACTCGATCATTTTATCATTTTATTATTAGAATATTTCAAGAATTTTTCTTTGAAAATAATAATATTAATAATATGTAAATGTATTGTAAGGCGTATGTAATGATTTCGAGACCCACTATAAAAACATCTGAGACCCTAATTTGGGACCCGAGGTTGGGGATCGCTGGTCTACCTATTATAATATATAGGTACACATTTTTTGTTTCATTAAAGTTCTTGGACTATAATAATAATATTACATAAAATACTTGTATAGAACTGCAATTAAGTGGCTCGTGCTATTATAATAGGGTCATATTAAACTGAAACCTCTAAATACCTCTTGACACTCTCGATCACTGAAATTGTGTTCACTATTCAGAGAGTCCAAATTGTAGAAATGTTGTAGTTGGTTCCCATAAGAAAACGTTCGCTATTGGGAATAGTTCAACAATTGTATAGGTGTCCGTTAGGGGAGGTTTCACTTTATATAGTTTGTAGCAGTCCCGTCTTTGTGGGTGGAGGGGAGACCTATCGTTTACGTTGACAACATCCAGTTGAAATTATTGTAAAAAGGATAACAGCTGCTATATTTCATGAAAAGCAATCGTGTTCCGTAATTCCGTTTTTTTCATGTAAAAAATAGTAAAACGGCCAAAATTAATGTAAATGATATACTAAAATTATATCGACTGAATTGTGGCCAGCTGATACCTATAATATAATATTGAAAACTGCCTGAAAACATTTTGTCAATTAAAATACTAAAATTACGTCTCTAAAATATTTAGGTAGTGGTTGGACGTTCAAATCGTAAATCAAATACACGATCGTCGTCACTCGTGACCGATGCGTTTGCATAACAAATATGAATTACCCACACCCGTATGTATACAGTGATACAGGGTGATTCAGCAAACATGCCCACTCACTAAAATTACTCGGAAAATCATTTTTTCGAATATTTTAATTTTTGATGTACCTCAATCAAAATTTGAACCAGTGCCGGTTTCCAAGTTGAGTGCTTAACTTTTTGTACTAAGGATAATAGATTTATGGGTCTCGAAGATGTGGCTGTGATTATTAAACAAATTTTAGTAATTAATATTAATCTATCAACATTTACAATCTGTAAAAATGGTCCAAGTATGATAAACATCAGATCCAAAACTATAAATCTATTTTATATTTTTGTTAAATCCATTTTAAGGACTGTTATACTTATTCTTCACATTTTAATTACATAGACCTTACTTGTTCAAATTTTTATTTAGATACTTATAGGTAGGTAAGTACATACAAATTAATTTTTAAAAAAATTATCTTATTCAAACTAAATAAGGGGATTCTCACTTGAAAATCATATTTATTAATTAAAACCGAAAAACACTTCATGAACTGTAAAAAATATCTCAAGTATTCGAATACATGGCCTTTAAAGTTTAAGAGAACGTTACACAAATATATATGTCGTCTACGTCTTACCAGTGCGTAATATAATAAATTTACTCTTAGCTGATCCGTTCAGCGTCGTTAGTTTAAAAATTGGAATGAGTCAAGCTTTGCGTAAATAATATAAAGTAAATCAAAAATGATCATAAATCACTTAAAAACTGATAATGTTCTTACCATCAAATTTCATAATAGGTCGATTCATTCTAATTTCTAAACTAACGGAGCTAAACATGATCTGCTGGTCGTAAATGTGCTATGTTACGCACTTGCAAGGAAGAAATTACAATTAATATATCTGTGTAACGTCCTCTTAAGTACATTTAATAATTCAAAAAATAATATTTTTAATATCTGCAGCTTTTCTAAAGTACAAAAGGCGGGTGGGCATGCTTGCATATATGAGCCACCCTGTATATATATGTTATAGTCGGGCGGCGAGTGGGTTGTGCTAGCGTTGAAGTCTCCAAAAGGCGTAAGTAAAATATTGTTATATCCATTATGTGTCGTACTACCCACGGCAGGCAACGCGTCTGCGCCAGTGACGTTCGGCCGGACTGATGTCGAGACGAGTTGCGAAAACGCTCTCGAGGTAACCCAATTTTAAGCCATGATGACGACTCCACCTGATTAGTGAGTGTATCTCGACAAATTATGTTTGCGTGTGATACGATCGTAAAGCACCAGACTAAACCTAGTCAAAAAGTCAATCATCCCCCTGCAATGAATTTTCTCTACTGAAGACAAAAATCAACCGACTCGGAGTTGGACGCACAATACTCACCCACCTATAATATTCCTAAGTGAGGATCCCTCCACCAGCAAAACTTGTGGTGTACAACTCACAAAAGTCACGAATACCGTAATAGATTTCCAGACAGAAAGGGGTTGAAGCTTTTCCCCCGACCCTACACCTCAGAGTAATTCTCAGTGCGGACCCTACGGTCGAGTTATTCAAATATATAAGTGATATCTCAAACTTTCTAATCTGCACCGTACTTTTTTTAATTTTTGAGTATGTTATCATCTTTCGAGGCAGTAAAAATGCTTTGATTTTCAACTTCAATATTTTTTCTGATAATAAAGTGATTGGTTGATACCTTGAGTACCGTAATAAAAAAATCGCAGAACTTTTCTTAATAATCGAGGAAACAGAAAGAAATTACCTATGAAAAAGCAAAAAATAATGATAAGATCGATTTTCTTTTTTCGTTGTATTTCAAAAACAAGTAACCCTCCTAGGGTCAAATAGCATCTAGAAAACTGTGTAATTCAAAAATAATTACGGGGACTTGAAGCGTTTACGTATATTATTATATTTTACTATGCACAAAAACCATTTTCATAATATTCAGATTAATTTTAAGCTATTATATATTTATAGCTTATACCTTATTAATAGTAAAATAAATAAAATGACACTAAAATAATTAAAATAGAAATATGAAAATATTATAATATGTATTATGTACCCACTTGGTAATATATGGGCTGCAGGCCGTCTCCGTACGGAATCGCGTCAAAATTATTTATCGTTGAATTCAAATTTAACACGTCCAATTACACCAGTGACCTACCTAATGACGAGGTACCGCTCAAATTATACTGTTGTACACCTACAATAGCACGGTGGTTACCTACTTTACCTCCCCACTTTGGTTTCTAAAACTAAAATAGATAACGTATCCATTAAAAACAACAAAAAAAAAAACGTTGAATCCCGACTGTTTGCCTCTCGTCACACTGTGATAAATTATAACTGATAATATGATAAGTGTAGTCTGTATATAATATTGTCTATTATACAAGGCTGGGCAAGTTAACTATTTTTTTTAACTCGTTAAGTTAAGTTAATATAGAAAAATGTAAGTTAAGTTTTAAGTTAAAAGTTAACTTCATTTTTTTTTTAACTTGTAAAAGTTACAAGTTAATTAGAAAATAAAAGTAACTTAACTTAGTTAAAAATAAGTTAATTTTTTTTTTTTAAATAAAATTAACAATTATACCTACCTACCTTTTTTTAAAGCTAACAAATAACATAATAATTCAATAAATCAAAAAATGTCTTACAATATTTTGAATAAATGTTTGTAATAAAATGAGTTACTGTAGGTACTTATATTAATTTTGTGTATTATACTTTAATTAGGTAAATAGTAAATACCACGCTACTATGGGTATTATTTACATCGACGGGCCAAGTTATCACCGTAATTCTATGAATGAATAAAAATATAATAATAAGTAATGATATTAATAATGATTAGGTATAGGTTAGGTGATATGTCGTGTATGGGATAGGTACTGAGTAAATTGTTATATTTTTCCCCTATGATATTTCCCTCTATAATATAGTTATAAAATATTTTCTGTGAATATGCAATATAAAAACTTACTATGATTATAAATTATTATTTAATAAAATATATTTAATATTTCGGGTTTTTTTTAACGTAATTAATTTTATAAAATTGAATTAATTTTAAATAATATGTGGTTTGGGAAAAAATTAACTTAACGTGCCAATACAATTAATTAACTCGTTAAGTTATTGAATAACATGGGGAAAAATGTAAATCGTTAAGTTAGAAGTTACTTCTAAAAAAAAAAGTAACTCGTTAATTAACTTAGTTAAAAGTAACTTAACTTTTTAACTTAACTTTAACTTATTAACTCGTTAATGCCCAGCCTTGCTATTATATAACACGAGTGCGATAATACACGGGGACGGTTAAATTATTCATTATTCAATTATTAATGAGTGCCGCCGGCGGGCATTCGATGACGAAACCTCGAGGTGGTATAATAATAATAATAATAATAATAATAATATACAAACTAAAATTGCGATCTGTCAAAAGAACAATATGTATGTATATGCGCCTGCAGCTATATTGGACAAGGCGAGCAGCGCAAATCGTAGTCGACCTATAATTCCTAAACACTCTTCGTTTCATCATGATTTTTTTGATTTTTTCAGTCCACTTCAGATTGTACTGGCGTCGTAGTAATATATTGTAAAACGTTTTGTAGCGTCCATTTGCTCCATCTTTGGCACGTAAATGTTCGTATATCCATGGAGTAAGTAGGTTCATTTCATGTCTGCAAGATATAGGCTACCTAACTGATAATTTAAAGCCGATTTGCCCTTCTGAACAATGTAGAAAACCGCCTGCCCACCAGACTGTTCAAGATCGGTTCAATTTTTGTTTCCAGTTATATATTAATAAATAAACAAATTAAACACAAAATTGAAAATATTATATCTTTTATTTTCAATAATTTGTTATGTCCTGAAGACCATATTTTCAAATACCTACTTAGCTTTGATAATTATATGCGTCTGTGTCGACACAATCTTTTTTTACCGCAGATGCGTACCTATATATAGTTGGGTAAAAGGTATTTAAGTCGAAAGTAACTAGTAGTTTGTAAATTAGGTAATAACACCTAATTTAAGAAGGATAATTTTAATATGAGTAAATAATAAAATTGGGACGATAGTGATTTAAAAATTATAACCGGTAATCAATTAAAATATTGTCAGAGTATAATATATAATAATATTATAATATAGGTACTTGACTAAATATTGCATCTATTTCATGTAAAACCATCATTATAAGACTATCATTATCTTTAGCACATATTATGAGGTTTCATTAACTCCATTATTATTACCTGTGTATAGAACGTTGTACCACGTTGTAGGTATTGCGGAATTTCTCGTAGCCGAATTTTCTGCTAAAAAAACACATATAATCGACCCACCGTTGAGATTGCGAGTGTCGTTTCGAAATCGTCACACGCAACACTATAATATTATATAGGCATAGCACTTGCCGTCTATATATAGAGAATTTATACTATAACGATTGCTGTCCGGAATGTGACTTGATGTTGCACAAATTGATTCACCAATCACACTTAAGACCCAGGAATTTTATTTCTTTATGACAATGAATTTATTCGAATTCTGATTCAAATTGCACTATCGAGTAGGACCATTTTTTCAATTTTTGTTTAGATTTTTATACAATTTAAGGAGTGTCCTATGGTGATACAATAGATTATTTTATGAAAACGTGAACCAACCGATTTTACTGAAAACAATTAAGCGGTTGGTTTGTTTATTTATAACGTTTTAATGTATAGGCATCGATATCAGAATTCAAACGAATTGTTTCTTAGTTAAAACTTAATAAAATTGACCTATATAATACTTGGGTCTTAGGTTAATAAATTGTATTATAAAAATTTAAACTATAGATGTGTAATATCAAATCTATAGTACTTAGTAATCTGTGGGGGAAACATTTACAAATATTATAAAACGTTAGTTAAAATTACTACAATTTTAAAACGTATCGTAGCTCAAACCCATGATTATCATTGACATTTTATAGTGTTCTAATTAAAAACCAAAAAACCGCAAAAACCACCAGTTTGACTTTAAATCTAGATGTGATGTGTATCGTAATTATTGTCGATAAAAATCATCTGATTAATAATTTATAAGAAAAATTGTGATTTTTGTTTGAAACTCATAAGTTGGTATTGCCACGAGACACACCCCCTCAAGTGGCACCAGCTAGGACTCGAAATATTTGAAAATATAGATCTTTTACTCGGCAGATTATCCGGCAAAGATCATCCAAAAACCGTAATCAGATAAAGTTATTTGTCGAAGGAAACAATATGAACGAGCCATTGGCGGATCACTCTGTATCACTCTGCGGCAGTCATGAGTCGGTCAGAAATGTGTCGTTACGATCGCTGAGCTCGAACGACAATAACAATATATGTGAAGAATCGCATGTCAAACCCAACCCCCCCCCCCGGACCGTAGGAGACCACAGATATAGGTACGACTTGCGTTCTAGACACTTTACTTCCGGACGACTCTTACGCGGGAGATTCGTAACAAGCTGTGTGGAGTTGGTCACGTACACCGCAACAATGTATTGCCGCTGCGTTATCATATTATAATATATATATATATATAGACACGCCCCTACGCTTCCACTTCCGGCGCCGCCGCGACCGCAGTCCGGTTTTTTTTTCAAGGTTCGCTCGGTTGCGCAATCCGCGACGAGACGCCGACGACCACTACCGCGGTACGACTGGTATGCCTACACCATGATACACGAGCGCTGCACACTGCTGTAACACAACAGCGCGGTTGTAATGGGCACTTTCGTTTTTCGTCCGAAAAGCCGCCGCCGCCAATCGCGTTCACTTTCACTCTCGTCGCACGCCGTCGCGGTCTCCCACGGGTTATTCTCGTCGTTTCGTACTCAGCTGGCTTTAGTGCACCGTGAATCTCCGCCATGAAACAGCTCGTGCCGTCCGCCGCCTTCGCCGGTCTGCTGGCCGTCCAAACCCTGCTCGTGCTCGGCGTCCTGGACTTGAACGGGTCCGAGGTCCGGGCCCAGGAGAGCCCGTTCGAGTTGCCCGTCCAGCTCATCGGTTTCCCCGTCATCATCGTCGCCGTCAAGATGTCCAATTTCGTCAAGAAACTCGCGTACGCCCTGAGCCCGAGTGAGTACAACCACCTACATCCGCGAGGCTCTTCTCCGGAAGGCCGTCCGCCGTTTTTGTGACAATTTTTTCATTCATCATTTATCGCTTTCACGATATTAATGTGTTTGTATTGGGATTCGACTCGTGCGCCTCGAGCAGAGAAAATTTTGACGAAAATTTTGACGTCTCCCCGCCCGCCAATTTTCTAATCGCCGTCCGCACACTTTCACGCTTAACCGAGGCGACAGTCCAAACTGGTATTTCGCGCGGTTATACAATGTATAACATAATATTATCGTTATATTGCGTGTGGCGATATTATTACATTAGGACTTACATATTATGTGTTATTACATGGGCAGCCTGTTGATGAAGTCGTAACGCGGAAAGAAGACCACTTGTATGCCAACACGTAACATCGCGGTTCGTAATAACAATAATAATATGCGTAAGTCGATAGTGCAGGAAGATGATTATAATAAAAATAATAATATGTAATGTAACCACCTAATAAAAATAATTCGCGAGCCGGACCGGAATTAACCGTTATTGCAACTTAAACTTTGTAATATACGAAATACTTAACCACGTGGCACGTGCAGTGACGTCCGGAGAATTTTGTTCTAACAATTTTCTAATAATATGTTTTGCTGACGATTTTGTTTCGTCGTCATAGTTTTCACCGGTTCAGTGGCGTAGCCAGGATTTTATTTTGGACAGAGGGTCCTTCATATGGCTTCATAATAGTTACTGGTACCCATGAGCGCTGAGGCCGTGAGCGAGTACCTAAATATTATTATAACATTTTAGACTTAGCATAAAACTTTGTGCAAAAACTACAATTTTAATTCACATTTACGTATTGAGTATATTATAACATCGAGATAGCATTTTTAGATTTTTCCTGCTATTTCGGGTTGGTCACAGCCCTCTCGGCACCTCATCCTACACTTTACTATGTTTTTACTTTACAGCTCCGACGTAGAATATTATTTTATAAACTCTCCCGACACGACGTCATTATGATATCACTCTCACAGTCATAACCTTATTATTACATAAACTTACACTGAACCCGATGACAGTCTGGTTAGTTTCTTCTTCTTTCCTAGTATTTATTTTGGCCGGATCGGTTCGATCGCTCGCGAACCGTACGCTGTCGGCGACTGCGACGATGCGATGACCTAATCCAAATACGCGAGTTTATTACACAATCGCTAATGGTCTTGTACGGATCGTCGTTGTAATTATTGTTGTTGCCGAGGTTGTTTTTGTGTACACAGTGCACGCCACACAAGCGTACGCTAATCGCATACGGTGAATGTATGTAGAGAGTTTAAAACGGTCAATTATGTATAATATAATATAATAAAATATAGACAATATGGGTGCGCATTGCAGGTCGTACACCTATTACAGGCGCTTATTGTATTTTAACGCATATTTTAACACATAACGCGAGTACCTATATAAGTCACCGAACGACGCGATTTCGTCGGCTTTTCGCGATACTCGGGTATGGAATGCATTACGATTATCTTATTTTAATACCTTAAGAATCCATTTGCACTGAGAAGTACTACGGTAATAAATCCTAATGTCAATAATGTTATGCACTTATGATTGTACGGTGCAATACAGCGGCGGTCCAATAAAAAACGACCTGACGACCCTTCATACTCAGCTCTATAACGGAAAATGAATTTTTTCTCCTAATACCCAAACGATATAATATTTAATATTATATGCGATTTAATAAAAGTCAATTTTCACACAGTGGCTTTTAGGGATAGTGGAAAATTATTGCCACCTGTATATGTGGACAATAATTCCCACCCATAATTTATCACCATAATCATACGATATTCTTTAAATTCCAGTGTAAAGACCGATATAAAAATAATAATTGTTATATTTTCATTCTTTTCAAGCCTTGTATATTAAAATCGAACAATTTATGGTTTCTTATATTGATTTATCACACCATTTCTAACTCATAATATAGTTTTTCGAATAAACCGCAAAAATATATGTAACATTTTTACATTTTTAAAGTAAAGTGTTGACAAGTGAATTTCAAAAATTGTTTTAAGCTTGTTGGTAGGATCTAAATTAGTCAATATAATATTAAACGATAAAGAACCTGAACTTGTTTTCATACTCTACGTCACGTAATCAGAGACCGATCAGTTACAGCGTATATACCGTGATGGAAATGGGTCCTTTTTAGCACGAAAATCCGTTTGTTTAGAATCCCTTCAATTGAAATATTTAAATTTAAAACGTCATTCCACCTGGTGACAATTGTCCTATTTATCGGATGGAAATCGACTGCCAATCATAAGATAATTTATTTGGATAAAAATATTATGTTTTCAGTTGTGAATAGACTCAATTGGTAAGCGCAAGCTTTAGCGTTTAATTAGGTGTCGTCCACTTACGTGTGTTTGGGTGTGTGTGTGTGTGAGTAGAAGACGAGTCACATCACTAATGGACCGAGTGCTCGGATCTCATACTATTACAGTGATAAAAAATATATAATAATGCGCTGCACGTCGTCGAAAAGTTACGCAAACTGTTTCGTATCGCGTACGTACATATTATATATTTATTACCACAACTCGGTCGTTATTTGACATGACGCACGCGTGTGTCCGACTGTGTACACTCGACAATGACGTTGCGTAAAAAACTAAAATCTTAAACGAGTGTGTGGTAAAAAAAAAAATCGTTTAAAAATAAAAATAAGTAATGACATGGGCACATGGCGTCTCCGCGCGGGCTACCATTATCTAGGTGTATTGTTGTATTATAATATTCGTGATACAGCAACGATTCTAGCTCATTGTCACGCTACCGTATCCCGAGGTGTATTTACGATTTTGGCGCCCTAGGTACACACACTTTGGCCCCTCTTTTTTTCTTAACTTTTAAGACCGGTCTAATTTACAATTTACTTTTTCACTCCCTTAAAAGTGCAGGGCTTGCAACCGGTATAAACCGGTAAACTGAAGTCTGAAACCGAAAACTAAATGAAAACCGAAACCTAAAAAAATAGATACCGGTATTATAATTAGAAATCGAAAAATAAAATATCATTTAAAAAACGTATTTTTTTTTGAAAATCTTTATATCTTGACATTTAGAAATGTTTACTTTACACAGCAGGCTAGATCCGGTGATTCAAAAAAATTAATAAATTAAGAATGAACGTAAATAGTCCAGGCCTTGAAACTGATTTTAGAAACCAGTATAAGCCGTTTAAAAACTGAAACCGAAAACAAAATCGGAAAATATTGGAAACCGGTATTAAATCCAAAATTGTAATTTAATAATACCGGTATTGAAAAGTTTAAACCAAAATCGAAAAAAATGAAAAACAGTATACAATATCGAAACCGAAACCGATTTTTCATATACGGTTTCTGGCCCTGTAAAAGTGATAACCTTTATTTTCCCCTTATTGCCCTTAATTTTAAAGAATAGGGTATTTTACCATTACCACACCATTTATTCCTAATAAAAAAGTCAACCTTTATAATCAAATAAACAAATTATAATTTTAGATTTTAGCCTTTTTTATGACAATATAATAAAATACATTATATGTATATATTACCTACCTATGTATAGAAATGTAAAAGATATTATAAGAAAGAGACAGGTTACCACTTATCAGTTATAACTAATATAATTTCTCAACAAATCCAATAAAATAAAAAAAAATTTTGTCATAACCTCTAGGGACGGCGCCATGGGGCAATTTCCCTCCGATGCTGTGATCAAATAATTAAGAGGAACGCACTGTAAATATGCTGTTATAGCCGTCGGAGAAAGGGCCGAATAAAATATGACCTGTACATCAAACATTTCAAACAAAATCCTCACCACCCCCCTTCATTTAAAAATGAGTTTACTCGAGTTCAGATTCTTGCAATTTATCAGTATAAAAAATGTATTATTTTCAATCACTTGGATTTATTTATGCCATTTAAGGAGTTCCCTGTGATGGTGTCCACTCTGCAGACTTCAGACTTCTTTTTCCGAATGAGAACTTTAAATGGTTCTCAGGAAAAACGCGGTTTTCTGTACATTATTAAGAGGATTTGTGCATATGTGTACAACATATAGGTTCCGACTTTGCGTTCGGCAAAACCAATTTAGTCTTGACGCTTATTTTAATATTAAAGTGAATTTTATAAATAATATGTAATAAATCAGTGTGCTTAAGTAGAAAAGGTACTTGAAAGTTCCAAAAATCAGAATATGAATAAATGCATTCTAATACCTATTAAAGGAAAAAATGGGGGTGAACGTGCTTGCACGGTAGATCACATTGCTTATAGTTATATTATGTAGGTATTCAAAGTTTCAACGGCTTTTCAGAAACCTTGTTTAATAAATTGTATTTTAAATGCAAAATTCACCTTACCTGATCTGTATAATATATTACGGAGACCGTTTAACCAAGTGTTATTTCCGCTCGTTATTGTCGTGAACAGGAGGAACGATTCTTATTGTTCACTCTCCGGCTCACCCACCTACCATCGTGCTGTAATCTGTTTCACGTTTGTGAAAATATATAATAATATAATATCATTAATGAAAGAAGAAAAAAAACGAAAGTATACGTCATTATATTAATATTTACATTATTTATAAGATATAACGATCTCACGTCGAAATACATAATAATATTTGAAAAATTCAAATTTAACACCCCAGCCTCCGAGGTTATGCCTAAGTATCGATGACTACGTTGTCCTCGGTATCTATATACAGTATACACTGTATAGGCTAACGTTGTTACTCCTACACATTTATAATACACACTGCGCATATTGTACAAACTTAATGTACACACCCGTCCTCATTTAAGTATTTTGTTTCGCTCGGTCGCAGGCACCTACAGGAGAAAGGCCAAGAGGGACTTGCAATCTGCGACGTCCGCAGCCGGGACCTTGTCGTCCTTGGACGTGCTCAAGGCCCAGGAGATGATACTGAAGGAAATGGGTCCTGATGCTTGCGTCTACGAGAAGGTGTGCTCTGCGTACGCCGAGGCTGCCGCTCTCGCCAAAAAGGATCGCCGCAGCGGTAAGGCCAAGGTGGACCGGATGGACTGGGAAAAGATCATCAGGTAATTATTTTATTTTGGTTATAAGACACATCGTAAATGCAATCGTCCCAGTCCCGCAACAACAAAAAACTGAAAAACCCCATAAATCACCCCGATGAATTAAAAAAAAAAACAAAATGATTCTTATAAGGACAATTTTGAATATAGGCAGAGCAGATATATATTATGTATATATGCAGCAAGACCTATAAAATTGTTAATAATTGGTGTGCTTTCGATATTAGGGACAAATAAATAAATAAATAAATAAATAAGGGCCTACTAAATATTAAAATAAAAATATAGTATTTTCTTAACCATAGTTGGTTGAAAAAAAATTCTATGCCGTTATATAACTTTGATTTTACAATTGGTTTTTAAATATTATGTTAAATCAAATTTTAGCCAATTTAATGGATTTCCAAGGGCATTGCAACTATATTTTTTGTATAGGTTTTTGTACATTAAATTCACAGTCTAAAAACTGTATACTTAATTTAATATTGTGTTTATTTCTACTTTCAAAAGTCTGGAGCTCTTCACGTGTGTGTTCTATATCTTTCATAAGGGCTCGTCCCGTTAATTTAAATAAATATTCTGCACATATTATACTCTGAACACAATTATTATTCTGGCTCTGCATATAATTATGCTTTATTATTATTCTTTTTTAAGACTCAACGACAACGTTCTCCTCGCCCTCTTCCCCGATTGGTCCGATTGCGGGAGATGGGCAAGATACCATACGATATATTTAGCTATAATATTATATTGTGTTGCATACCTGTAGAGTTTTCAATTTGACCGGTCGCTAATTTTCATCGTCAAATGTACCTAAAATAACATCTTTTAAGCTACGTCCCGTTCTTAAATCATTATCTTTTCGCAGCGGATACATGGAAACCGGACAGGCCAAAAAGAAGTATTACATGCTGAGCGTATTCCTGGGAGACGTGCTGGGTTCGCCCGAGTTCTGTTCGAGGATCGTAAGGAAAATCAAACGGTGTGACGTCAAACACATATACCACTGACACTGCACATATAATAAATATTGTGTTAAATATTTCAAAAACTATATTTATTGAACAAAATAATTTGTAATTATAAATAATAGTCTTAAAAAAATATAATAATAATATTATAAGACTAAGTGCATGCTCATCACGATGTCGTCGTATCATTACCTATTGTCATTAGCTATTACTGTCATCGTGTAATGTCACCGTCGCTTTCGTTTTAAATGTTATCTTAATTTTTTTACAACCAAATCTGAAATGTAATATCATTATATTATATCGTACTATTAATAGCACCATTGTCCTAATGTGTAAATAATCAAAATGTTTTATAGATTTATGTAGATAGAATATTAGTTAAATATATATATATATATTTTAATGAAATGTGAGCCGACACAATTATGATGTTTGGCGTTTGCAAATATAATAGTATAATATTGATGATTATTGTAATTGTATCTATATGTACTTTTTGGGTTGAGCTTCTTTGGAGATGAAAATTTTAGAAACGGTTGTAATCAATTATTTAGGTACATTGCAAATACAAACAAAAGAAATGATTGACAAAAATTGCGACACGTATTGCAATATTATATAAAATACGCATCTTCACAATCGAAATAGGTAGGTAACTAATAAAATGATATTATCTGAACTCGACGACGACGTCAGATACATAAAAAGTTGAAAAATAATAACTGACCTGTTCATTTTTTTCCGTACGTTGCTTCGAATGAACAATCTCGACGTGTGTATAAAATACAAATAAGATATAAGCCGATCGGTTGTGTTGTTGAATGAGCGATGCGTTTATATTATGATAACACTAAAGTTTGCCCAGCCGTTTACAGTACAATAGTACACTTGCCCACAGTAAAACTTCATTGTAACAGTTACAAACTAAACTTTTTCGGTACTAAGTATATTATTCCTTTACCTACGGAGAGTCTAAAATATAAGAAATATAATATATATAGGTTATACGGGACTATTGTTATTTCTCATTGTAAAGAGATTTTCGTACTTTTTTAATACTGTACTATATATACTATTATATTTATTTACATACCAGCTAGCAGACTAATGTGATTTATTTGGGTTCCTGTCCTACCATATGCACCGTAAACAATACAAAATAATTATTAAATTTAATTTTAAAAAAATAAGAAAAACTATTAGACCATCTGTGTCTTATTGTCCGACTCTAACGTGGAAGAAGAAAACCATTCAATAGACGACCATCGTCGGTTTGTATAACATCGATGTGTTATTAGAGTTATTATAATAGGTGATTTTGACCACCTAAAATTATACCTACCAACTATAGATCCAACAAGTTGCTACCAAAAACCTTTATCGAAGACCAAAGTTGACAATCGGAGCATTTTTTCTACTAGAAAAAGTGACTTCAGGCACAAGTGCGCAACATTGTAAGATCACTATACAACATTCATAGCTACGCTATCGAATCTAAAATATATAAACTAAATTACTATAATAAATTGTACAAAAATATTCATTTTTTAATCGCTCGTAGGACGTTGTAGTTGTTGTTTTACTGGTAATCGATTGACACTCCTCTATATAATATTGTGATATCATTTTTTTGAAGATTTACGGCCGGGGCTTTGCACCTCGCACGAGTCAGGCCGAGTTCAATAATCTCAATGGACGGTTGTTATTTTTCAAGAGTTTTCCCCTCCCCCCCAGCCCTCTCACTGATTTAATTTTCCTATTCCGAGCACTGACACGATTTTACGATATTATAGTGCGTACCTCCATGTAAGCGTTACTACCGCCGACGATGTCATCGCGATTTATCACTTGCCGTATGATAGTTGCCGCGATCTATATAAAGTATAAAAAAGAAATACCGACGCCGCACGTGTGCCTCTCACAAGTGTGTGATTTACGCCGCTGTTTACCGAAACAAACTCGACGAAAAAAAAAAATCATAATATAATAATATCGTATCGTATTATCGTTAATCATAATCATAATATATTGTTATACACTGTATCGGTAATATTGTTATTGTTTTTTATAATATTATTATACCCAAGACATATTTAATAGTGCCGTCACGAAATCAAAACATAAGAAAGGCCTGTTCTTTTATATAGTATAATATAAGGATATACATTATTAAGTATACATCGTAAAAATACAATCCCCCTTCTCCTTCCCCTGTGACAAAAAAAATGACCGAGAAAAATGACAACGACAAATAAGTATAATAATTAAATCTAAAATAAATACTTAACTGTGGCTTTTTCAAATTATTGCGCAATGATTCCAAGTAAATTTCTGATAATGTTGATAATTTTACAACAATTTTTTTCTGTGTATACAATGTTGTTGGTAAATACTCTATCGTCATTTTTACCAGACTTATCAACTCTTATACAATTATCAGATATTATTACACGTAGGTAGGTACTCGGTTAATCGTCTACGACCTCGACAGAGGTTCTTAAACTAGTTAAACTTTTGGTGAACATGGACACCTTATCGAAACCTTTTAAAAATTTTCTTACGAATACCCAACTGTCTTTTTTTACGAAATATCTCATGTTATCATAATTATCAAGTAGGCACAACCTACATATTTATAATTATTTTTCATCTACATAATTTTTTATAAAAATTTAGTATTTTAATTTTAGATAGAACCGCCGAGGACCACGATTAAAGAACCCCTGGTCTACTACGTCTATATCTTCGGCAATACAAATATTCAGTGCATAATTAAAATATTGTGTTTTTTTTTTTTTACTTATCGAAGAATTCGCCTCTTCAACAAAATATGTTACTAGTGTATAGATATATGTTCTGTTTTTTTAATTACAATTTTCATTTGTTTATATTGTGTATTAATATATTAGTTTATATAGTTCTGAATGTTTTAACTTATTATTGTGACACAACAGGAATCATCGTCATCATCAACATAATCGACAGCATATGTGCGGATTCGATCGTCAGACTTCTTGTGGATCGATGGACGGGTCAGGGTAGTGCCTAATTTTACGTAAACACAATGTGGTGTACAACTGGTGTTCTTTCAACAACAAAGAAAACAATAGTTTTTATTATTATTGTTTTAGATTCTCAGCCGGGCGATGAATTTATTGATTTAACAATGATGTGTGCAATTAAGTGCATGGTGCATGACAATATTTTGCACTTATACTTTCACTAGGCCGAAACGTTCAATATAATATTTTACTGAGGTTTTTATGGTACGCAGTATCAAAAAAGTTGTTGGTTAACATTCTTCATAGGTCCCACATGTCCATGATCATGTTTATCAATCATTATTCTGTTGTAATAAATAAAAATCATACCTATTATGTAATACAAAAAATAAAAATAAAAATTTTACTGTATACAAAAAATAATTTCACTACTGGATAATTTATAACAATAATAAATTATAATAGTATAAAAATTTTACTATATAAATTATAATAATAATAATTTGAATATAGTAATAAATAATATATCAAGTATAAAAATAATATCATTGTAAAACACCGTGGTTTATAATTTCGAAAAAAAATAAACAATAATAATTTTAACAAAACAAAAAGGTGGAAGAATAAATTACAACGAATATAATAAACTGTAAAAAAAAAATACTCAGTCAAGTGTGGAGAGGGGTACGTGATGGCAAGTTGGGGTGGGGGGTGCAGATGTTAATGGTTGAACAGTATATGGCCACCTCTACATCATTCTTGTGGCCGGTCCTGAAGGGGGGGGGGGGGTTGTACGAGAGTCGCGAGCTTGTCTGCTCGGGGACGCGGATACGACCATGGAAGAGGACGGGACCCGACAGGTGGCCGGAGAACAAGTGTTGGTGACTTACCACCGATCACCCCCAAAAGTGCACTTTCAAGTACCATACCTCGACCCCACATCGCTTCGCCTTGACTACTACCCTCGACCGAGGAACGGGGGTGCCGAGTTCTGCGGACACTTTTGTATCGCTAATTGCAACCTAGGTAAATTACCACATGGCCCGTTTTACTCCCCTCCACACAGCGGCCACAAATCGCCTTATCAGCCCACGTGGAGTTCCTGCGTGGGTTGCCGGTTCAAGTAACGGATCGAGCCTGCCGTCCAGATCCTCTAACATGTTCCTCACCTCAAATGAGCCCATGTCCTCCTCATCCCCGCACCGCAGCACAACCTCTCCGTTTAAGGAGACGTCTTCGGGCTGTACTTGGGGCACGGAAGACAGCGTATCAGACACCAACCATGAACCAACTGGTCGACGATAGCGACCATCAGTCTATCTTTGTCCATTTAGTTATCGGTACCGGTGACCAGGTGTAGATGTTCTCCGTAGCCAAATTCCATGACAACGACGTCCTGGAGCACCGACTGGACGGTCGCCTCGATGGAATCAAACGCCACTGCCTCGATGACGTCTTTCATCACCTCCTCTATCACGGTGACGATGTTTTCGTTTTCTTTTTCGAAGTTTTACATGATGACTGTGAGTACGTGTGCTGTGACGTCGGATGATAATTTGCAAGTGAACGAATATTGAGATTTCGTTTTACGCCGTTGTCGAGAAAATCAATATTATTTCCCATACGACGGGTTTGACGTGAGTAGCAGAGAGTACTCATCGGCCATCACGATTATATTATTTTGGGCCCGTCTATTTTACTAAGGACCAACAACCGATTTTTTTTTCTTTAATCCTTATTATACAAATTGGCTTTTTTGATTTATATAAAGTATCAACAAATACCGACGTCGCACTTGTGCCGCTCTGCACAAGTGCGTGATTAAACGCCGTGGTTTACCGAAACAAACTCGACGAACAAAAAATCATAATAATATAATAATATCATATGGTATTATCATTAATCATCATCATTATATTTTTTTTTTTTTTTTTTTATTATATTATATCCGCGGCGACTATGGCCATTGGACGACATTAATGCTATACAATACTATACAGGGTTAGAAATTTTTGTATATAGATACATTAAATATGAAGGAGAAGAAAAAAAAAAAAAAAAAAAAAAAAAAAAAAAAAAAAAACAAGAAAGAAAAGACAGTATAACATAATATAACTTAAATTTTGTTGAGAAGTCCTGTGTTGTGTAAAAAAACCAACGTCGTTGTTAGGTTGCTCTGTTCGGGGCTGAGTGATTCGGCTAGCTGGTCCGGAAGGTTCAGTTCCCTCCTTTCATCATTATATTGTTATACACCGTATGTCGTCGTCCGCCCGGCGCTGGCGTCAGAGTGTCGGCGGCCGCGAGATTTATGTATTGTAATATTGTAGAAACAATACAATATTATATACGTTTTATTATTATTGTACTTGCTATATGTATACATTACGAGATCAAAGACTCCGTCAGTCGAAATAAATCAATATTATGTATAATAGAATAATATACTTAAAATACGTTACAAACGATTAACGGTGAAAAAAAAACTGTAAGAAAACAATAATAATAATATAATAATCGTAACCGCCCTAAAAACGTCGTACGAGCGAGCATAATAATGACACAATATACGTTATGACATATATATATACTGCCTGCATTTAGGTTATTGAGGTATATATATATTATATAGATACCTATATATCATATACGGTTATGACCCGACACGTCGGAACAGTTCCGAGCCGACCTCTCGACTGAACTTATTATGACCGTTTATGATGTACGAGATCACTCGACGACCGCCCGACGCAGCATCCTCACGATTCATAAATTATTGTCAAAACTGTTCACTATATTATAAAATATATAATAAAAAAAATAACATCGCATTGTATAGTGTACGATATGAGTAGAAAGATTAACTTATTATTGAGAAATCCGAATCGCTGCGAGCGCTTGGAAATACGATTTCTTAAAATAATTCACTTAAACGATATTATTTATTTATTAGATATTATGAGCACTATCAAAGATGAGGATAAGGCCCGAATTTAAACGCACTAACAACTATAAAAAAAATGCCTTTTCAACGAGATAATCACAGGTGCGTGAAGTTAGCGGAAAATTTCGAGCACTGATTTCCGCTATAATACAATTATTCAGTGCTCAATAAGTGATATACAATCTTATCGTTTACGAAATTAATTCTATAATCAGTAAAAAGTCACATAGGGACTTACCGTAGAGGGTTCAACATCAGCACCAAAATCCGCTATAGCGCCAAAATTTTGTGATGAACTAAGTATAATTAATTTAGTTCTATTCAACGGTACAGTTTTCAAAATTAAATAAATTACCTTCAATTTTTTGTTATAGGCTTTTAACTGCTCGACCGATAGGGAACAATGGTTCAACTTTTGACATTTTTAACATCTTTATCTCGGCTATTAACTAACAATAATACAAAAACTAAATACCAAACTTATCAAGCACGCACAATAAAAAAAAAAACAGAACACTGGAAATGAATGCGGTCGCGATTTATCTCCAACTGCAGACCAATATCAGTAAGTTGTTAATTTTTTTGAGTAAAGACACTACATCCTATAATCACAGACGATGGATAAAGACGTTATCGCTTTAATATTGTAATATAGAACACGATTGGACATCAGGTACGGATGAAAAATCCTTAAGACTATTAGAGGAAAATATATTATGAAAACAATATTTTGCTTAGTATAATATTTTTAATTATTCCTATTTTACACTTAAAGCTCGTAAGTACTAAAAATTAATTAAATTATCCGGAATGGTAAACATTTCAAAATGAAGGTATATGTGTTGCGTGAAACTAATTCTGTACTTGGGATGTCTGATGTGCGGAAGCACCCAAAAAACTATGCACTTTCAAAAGGGATCTACTTATTATTATTACTATTCGCCTCAGGCGGATTGCCAGTCTCGATTTCATTTATCCCCAGACAACGTGGCGGGTATAGTTTATATAATATGTACCTCTGGTTAGCCTCGGTACCTATACAACAGTTACCTAGTCAAATCATAAACCAAATTATAAATGTTGGCTTCTAAAAACGATTTCTCGAGTATTTTATCTTATTAATTTATATCGTCGTAGCTTTATCATATTATGTAGGCGCGCCGCATATTATTTTAAAATCAAAAAGCGAACCTCGCCGCCGCGGGACCCGTCGCCGCACCGCTGTTCTTCTAATTATATAATTATATTTATAATATAATTCGCATGACCTTTTCGTGCCGCCAGCGGGGTATATTGTACTCGGCAAATCCCATTAAAGAATCGTCGCCGCGGTGCGGAGATAGGAGAAATGTTATGCGGAACGGCTGCAGGAGGAAAGCCGTTATATTCGCGCGAATGATTAATCGCGGTGTCTGCGGTTGTGTGCATAGGTAAACCGGGAAACCGGAAGCGAGCGGTGAGGCAAGTATATAAACTTACAGACGTAAGACGTGCAGCAGGGACAAACGACGGTCGTATAAGGTGGGCGGAGGGGAAATTAATTAAGTCTTTGTCTGTCCAAAAAATACACGCCGCCAGAGACCTGCACCTCCACACAACCGCACAACCCCAAACGCCATCGCCGGTGGATAATTTTCTCTCCGCCGTCGACCGATGATTAATGCGTTTACCCGCTCGTTTGACAATGAGCACACACACACACACACACACTGGTGGGGGAGCACACGTATACGTACGTATAATAACATAATATAACCTCTTGACAGTTAATTTCGGTTGACGAACGCGTTACGACAGTGTGCGTGCGTATAGGTCTCCCGACGATATTTCGAATATTTAGCAATTAGCTTTCGCGCGTCTCCAACCCCCGAGGGGGGGGGGGGAGGACAAGCTCGGCTGCTGTAGTCACGCTTCGTCGTTGTAACGTTTTCCTTTTTTTCTTCCCTCCCCACTTGGCCGTCCTCTCTTCCTCCTCTTCGAATGTATATTTAGGAACCAGCACACGGACAGCGATAACATATTATATTATAATACAAGCGGGCTAGTACAAAACGATTACGCGACTCAAGTTTTGACGATGTACAGGGGTAGCACGAGCTGCAGTCTCTTCAGAAAAACTATGACAGTCGTTTGGACGGACAAGATGATGGCTGATTGCGATAATGGAGGCGCCATAGGAAAACGACATGGAGTCCGGTAAACCACCGACTTCTCCTCTTGCGTCTGCAGGACATATGCACCTAAAGCAATAGGACCTCACACGTTTTACCATCGATACTTTGGGAAGCTGGAGTTCGAGTTGAAAGAGCTGGCCGCCTTTTAAGAATGTACATGGGGCCATACACTTTAGTAGTATATGAAATCGCCCAATAACGACGACTATTAGGACTAAGGAGTATAAGGACCCGCAGACTATCTTGTCGGAACAACTCAATCAGACGCAGTTTAATAAACATCAGACTTTGACATATCATTTTTAAACGTATATATATCATAATAATATTAAAATCATTGAAACAAATTGGTTTTTAAACCGACGACCACATAATTATATTATTTTATACAATATGCATCATGAAATAAAATAACTTTGCGATCGTATTCCTTAACATTATACTCACTTGAACGTTTCTAATTCGTTTGTAATTTTGTTTGAGCTTAGTCTAATAATTAAAATATTACACTTGTAAACATATTACAATACCGTACGGCGGCGTATAATATCATTACGCGATCATTGTTCATCATTATTGGCCATTATTATTATTATCGTGTACACGCATAATAGTATAAAATATAATGTTATATATTGTGCCGCAAACCCTTTTCGACCTATGTCACATAGTGACGAATTTAAAACTCGTTTAAACTACTTGACGATTTCCACTATACGTCGGACACGAAACGCCCCGATTGTTATTGAGTCTTAAATGCGGTGGGTAAAATACGCATTATTATTATCATTATTGTTATTATTTATTTTAATTTTAATATATTGTTGAGACACGCGACCCCGTCGACTCTGCAGAGACTCTAACCGACCGTAAAATTGTTATACCATTTCGACGCCCGCGTAACTCTACACACATTTATTGGAGGCGTGTTTTGCGAAAAATTGTTTAGTCGGCACGCGTACTGTAGGGCACACATTATTAATATCTACTTGACAATAAATATTATCAAGTACCAACTGATCGTCTAAATTACGTCAATGTGGACGGACAAACACTATTGCGATGTATTTAAAGTGATAATAATAAATTATTAAAAATGTTAATTTGTACGCATCTATCTTGCATATTATATAGGTGCTGGCGAGCTCTTGTTTCTGGACATTTTGATACATATTTTACTTGGTTTTGAACTTTTGGTGAAAATTTGTGGTGAAAATTTCAAAACTAGGCTGGAAAGTTTACGATGCCAGCAAGTTCCATGTTTGAAAAAAAAATTTACAATATATTAGTTTTAACTAGAAAAAGTATATGGAAAATCGTTTTCAAGTGCTGTTTGCCTGTTAATGTTATACTAAGAGTTTAAAGGAAAAGGAGCATCTTCCAAGTTACCTTCCAAACTGAGCTTGACAACTCATATACCTAGATATTGACAAAAAAAATATTTTGAAAACGTTAAATTTTTATCTATCTCGAGAGCTACAAAGACCTGTTATGCTTGCCATTTTAATAGATTTGTTTTTGAATTTTATGGTGGAAGGATTTCGAGTGCATTTCAAAACTAGGTAATAGGTTAGCGAAAAACAACGGTAAGTTTCATATATTATGCAAAATAAAATGTTCGTTTTAAATGTACGTACCAAGTGCGTATTGATTATTGTCGTATCAATTTCTAAATAAACCATACGTCACATAAGTTCCCCCTCGATTTTCAAAATATTGAAATTTTATTTTTCCATCAATATTAGTATATCTATATTATGCTATCTGTACGAATTTGTACGCAGTGATCAAGAATTTGTTTTTAAACCTTCGATGGACTGGCGTGACTTCACACTTGTTTCAATGATATTAAATAATAATAATATGTGGACATAGTAGGGAAACGCTCAAAAAAGTAGTCGTTGGAGAGGGATGATAAAAAAATAATATTTTATGACAAAAAACGATCGACTGACGAGCGTTATAATTAGAGTGATGAGGGTGCCCGAAACCGGAAATACGGAAAATAAATAATTCACTAGGTACATTTTTAGTCAATGATGGAAGGTGAAAAGGTGGCCAATATAAAATATTTGTTGTGACTATATTATTATAGTGACGGAAAATAAAAAGGAGAAAAAAATGTGCACATGAAATAGACCGAAAAACGTGGTGAATAAATGTATTTAAAAATAGATTAAAAAATTCTGCGAAATTTGTGTTTTATTTTTACGCGACAGAAAAACAAAATATAATATCGTAGACTGAAAATACAAAGTTCAGCGATAAAAAAAAATACAAACAATACGATATCAAAGATCTAAAAATAAATGTTATTAAATTGCATGACGAGGAGAATAAAATTTAAAATTTCCCTTTCCTAACTGTATAACATAGTACTTACCTGTCTTAACTCTGTCTGTTATTTATTTGTGATTTGTCGGGAGTTTTTTATTTGTCTTGATCACTTCTATGTCTTAGACAATCGTGTTTATAAATAAATTTAAATTATATTATATTATAATATTGTTTATTTATTAAACGACTAAACATAAACAATTATAAATACAAAATGTTTAAATTTATATATAGGTACACAGTTACACATCCCCTGTACCTAAGCGATGGCTTGAAATGGAAATGTTGACTTTTGAGTAAATTCCCAAGAATATTTACATAAAATATTAAATAATATAATTCAATTTAGAATGCATACATATTAAATATATGATATTATGTTATATGTACAAGAAAATCTAAAATGAAGATGTTTAATCAACAGAAAAATCAATTTAGTCCACTGCTGCAGAATGTATGCACACAAATACACGTCGTTATACATAAGTAAATTGCTTTACAAGTAAGGATTAGTAAGTGCTTATTATTTGCGTTGTAAGTTTGATGAAATCGTGATATTGCACGGTCATACAATTTTAAAATTAATAACTAACGATAAACTATATTGAAATGTTTTTTTTTTTTTTGAAAATGGAAACAATTATTTAGACAAACTAAATGCATTCATATGTTTACGCCTTGAACCGACGACGGCCTATGTGCTTGATAACCGCGGAGTATAATATATTATATCAAAGAGATCTAGGGGTGGTTTTTTCGATCTCAGGGGGTGGGCGCGCGTCTCAAACACGGTTTGGTGGGTGGCTGAAAGTTCGGGTGAGAATAAAGAGCAGACGTCGACTCGAACGTTTGTGCTGATGCTCACAACAATGACGACGCGATAAAATGTATAAAAATATAAAATAATAATATAATGGGCTTTTGACGAACGCGACAGAAAGAAGAGTTGAGAAACCGAAAACTTCATTTTTCATATCGACTCCATGGGAGATAATAATATTATAATGCTCTCGGCATGGAGCCCGAGACATTGTATTATATATTATACAGAATGATTCGCGAAACACGCACGCCCCCATTTTTCCATATTTTAATAGTGAAATCGTTGATATTCTGATTTTTGGAATTTTTAAATATATACTCTCCAATAATACTACTTAAACAGTGTCCTGTGGTGATGCAAACTTCTGTTTTTCAAATGAGAACCCTATCGTTTTATACTGTAAATTATTTAATGGATAATTTTTTTTTCAAATTATGTTACCTACGAATACAAAATTTGAATGAGTAGTTTTTCAGTTATTAAAATGTTTATACTACCAATAATAATCACTAAAAATCTTATTACAAAATTATCAAATATATCTTCTATTGGATCTAAAGTGATTATCATTATACTTGGACTATTTTTACAAATAATTGATCACTAAAATTTTACTCTCATCTTAACCTCCGTAATATTGTCTTCTAAATCCACCGTCATGGACCTATTATCCTTATGGCTTATAGTACACTTAGTTAAATGCTTGGACTCAAAAACAACTCATTCGAATTTTGATTCAGACACGTCAAAGTGTTCGGAAAAATTGTCCGCCAAATAATTTACAGTAGAAAAGACGAGGGGGGTCATCTACTTTGTATCTCCACAAGGAGTACACGACACCCCGTATACCTACTACAAAATCTCTAGAATTCGAAAACATGGTCTTGGCCTACTTTTAAAAATATCAAAAAACAAAATCTTAAACTACTAACCGCAGCAGCGTTGTTGAGGGAAAATATCGAATGAGTATAATATATGCTTGGTGAATCGCCCCGTATACATATTATTATTATTATACTGCTGCGAACGAGTGGCGCGAAATCCGTTTGTCGGAGTTTATTTTTAAAGCCGTTTTCGTTATACTTTAATAATATAATACCAAACACATACATAACATTATTATTATTATTATTATATTATATACGAAACGAACTGTGCGCGACTGTCGCGGGGACACAGCGCCGCCGATGATTTACGACTTACGTACACATTATCGTTTGTACGCGCGAGCACGTCGACAGAGACTTTGTACAATAGTAAGTTTTCCGCTTCATTTGTACACGTCGCCGTGGTGAAGTATCATTATATAGAAGTAACGCTGGTACGAAGTCGGCGGGGGTAAGCTTATTATTACTACTATATCATATGAAATATATAATATTATAATGCGAGTTATTGTATAACAAAAAAAAAACAAATTTATTTCGTGTTTCTCTCTGTAAAAACAATTATACTTTCACCTAGTTTTTCCCCCAGAGGAAAAACTTTGTCTTTGGTTAGGATACAGGTATAACTGTATGGGGGGGAGTAGATTTATTATTACATTAAAATAAGCCACGGCTTATTGGAAAAGTGTCTTTTGTTGTATTTTGTAATATTAACCAATGTATTTTGTTGTTATTGACAAATAAATAAATAAACAATACATAATAATAATACAAATATGGTCACACCTTATACACTCACGAACACCTAATGAACAAAAAGGAACAACGAAAATGCACCACATGCAACACCACAACTATAGTTAAACACCTGTTAACCAAATGCCTCCTGACAAAAGACTCGAGAGATAGATTGACGCTACCCTACAATCTATGTGAAATACTATATCACCAAACACAGAGACGACGTCGATTCTTCTTCAAATCCTCACAAAGAGACGAACCTGATCCAGATAATATGACATATATACAACACATAAATTATATCACATGTAATTAAATTAACATTATTATAAACCTTTCATGTACCGTACTTACAATTTTTTGTATAAATTATAAAATG